GGGGTGGCAGGAACATGGACAAGAAAAAGAGCAAACTTGTTGGCATTGTAGATGATCGTGAAAATGATAGATTTAAAGATATTCGCATTGAGAGGACAGATGAATTTGGTCGAATTGTAAGTACTTCAATCACTTGGTTTCTTAAGTTTGTACCATAGGATTTATGGTTGTATTATGTGTCGTAAAAATAGGTTAGTGTTCTGTATTATGCATGGAAAGGTGGGGCATGGCCTCTCAATGATTGGGAATAATGAAGAGTCACAGGCCAGGCCTTCTGTCTTGTATACTCATGTCTTTAACCAAGTATGCTGAGACCGCCTTTCTTGCTAAACATGGTTCCGTTTTGGGCAAACAATTTATATCTTGGCACTGTTATTAGTTGACAGAAACTTTGAGGGAGGACATTTTTGCGAGTTTTGGAAGAACGCCAATTTTAGGCCTAAATTTCAGAAATACGATTCAATTTATTTACAGGCTTTTGTTTGGGTTATTTTGTTGGACCGTATTTGTTACTTGGATGGGCTCTATTTTATGGGCTTGTTATATAGGTTTGGACTTTATTTATAGGTTGTTTTGAGTATATGCAATTGAGATTTTTAGACTATCATTGAGTTTTATTGTTCTGAGTTATTTGTTCTACATCAAACTTTCTATGCAACTTAGACCAATAATTAGATTCTTTAGTTTGGCTTGGTTAATGATATAAAATAACAGAAAAACCTGTGTAAAGGATTAGAAATGTGTGAAGACTCTTTTCAAAAAAAAAAAGAAATGTTTGAAGACTTATGACCATGCTGACATGTACTATTTTTGGCATCACATTTGACATCTAGAACAACTAGGCCAATGTTTTTATAGTAATTTCTCTTTTTTTTTCTTTTTTTTTAATGGCATGTTTATATAGTAGTCAATAATAATGCATGTGCTGTTATATTTGCATTTGAGCTTACAAATTACGATTTTCTCATCTTCCCCAGATCACTCCCAAGGAAGCCTTCCGGATGCTTTCTCATAAATTTCATGGTAAAGGGCCTGGCAAAATGAAGCAAGAGAAACGGCAGAAGCAATATCAGGAAGAATTGAAGCTGAAGCAAATGAAAAATTCTGATACACCTTCCCTGTCAGTGGAGAGGATGAGGGAAGCTCAAGCTCAGCTGAAAACACCCTACCTTGTCCTTAGTGGTCATGTGAAACCGGGGTATGGTTTATATATTGTTTTAGGTTAATTGTAATCTCTGCTGACTGAATTTTGATTTGTTTAGTTCAAAAGTGAAAGGAACTCCATATCATATCAACTATTTAGAATTAGGATGTACTACTTAGTTTCTTTTTACTTTCGTTTGTTTCACTGCCTTACCTGTTGCAGAACCAACACCCTCCCCCCCCTGTCCAACTCCTCTTTTTTGAACCTCCGCATTCCATATGCAGATAGGCAAAGTTTCATCTGGCATTATATTAAGCAGTATGTTTTGTGGTGTCTGGTGCAATGGGCAGTTTTTTAGGGTTTTGCTGTTTTTATTTGATGACATGTAGTTCAGTGTTGGTTGCCATTTCTGCTTCTTGGTAGTGTCAAATAAATTTACAATTATGATCGTACTTTTTTCATTTTTTGAATGGATATTTTATAATCTTGGTTTTTTGTTGATTCTCTCTGCATGGTAATATTTCTTTGATTCTGGGTTTGCAGCCTTGTGACAAATGGTATGTTGTGCATTTGTTGGGATTTGTCGTTGTGGGAGATGAAGCTTAGTTTACCATTCTCTGCCATTGACATGGCTTGCCATTGCATATATTTTGATCATTTGTTAATTTAATTGCTTG